CCCAACCCCCATGGATACCAAGGGACAGCTCTACCCAAAATCTAAACACATATTTTCAGAGTTATAAATGAAATATCTTTTCATTTATAAAAAAAAAATAAAAAAATAAATGAAATATCTTTTGTATAATTTAGGGCTCAACTGATATTCTAGTAGCTAAAAAATACGAGTGCCTTGAGAAATCATCTTTTTTTATGTATTTCAAAGATATTATGCAATTATGTAATTAGAATAATGAACTTAATTATATAATCAGTACACTAATTATATAATTAGCACAATGTAAGAATTATGAATTAGCTTAGTATATCAGTGTTGGTACTGTCCATACAAAAAATTTCTTATGCGTGTTTCCCTTTCCCTGGAGTGTAAAATATTTCCAATTTTTTCCATGAGCATATGGAGTTAGTCCTCCGTGACTCTCATAAATGTCATGTGAGTTTATCACTCCTTTTGAAATATCGAAGGGGAAATTAGAGAAGTTGATTAAGACAAGAACCTGAGTAGTCAGAAGTTATTTGCAGTCGTTGTATGTAGTAATTCTTGGTTATTAAATATAGATGTCATGTTAAGTATTATGATAAATAGCTTATCCATTTCATATGATCATTCATGATATAAAATTAATTTGAAAATATAAATACTTCAGGATTTGAAACTTAAATATTAAGTATAACATTACTTTTATTAAGTTGAAAAACTAAAAAGATCAATGGTTCCTGAACATCCGGTCTTAAAAATCACAGGAAGAAATATAAGTCAATTTTACAGAAATCTGATGACATTGCATCATGGTTAATAATATCAACATAACAAATAATTACTTCCAAATAAAATGACAGTGTGGGCTAATAGTCAGACAGTAAAGTATAAGTCTGGCTAACTCATTACTTTTAGCTCTCATACTATGGCACCTATTTTGATGGGAAATAACCATGTTAGAAGTGATTACTAATTAATAAAAAAGGTTAATCCATTAAATTTATTAGCCATTAATTAACTAAAATTTTGTCTTTTTTGTTCTTTTTTCCTTCTCTGCAAAATGGATAAAATAAAATGACTTGTTATCTGTGGAATAATGTACAATGACTAAACAGAAAAAACAGATTCTTGAGAAGACTAAAACAATGTTAGAGGCAATTGAGAGATTTTGGGATTTGAGCACTGTTATTCTCGGTTTA